GCAGGAGGACTGCCACAAATTTGGGGCCAGCCTGAACTGCATAGTGAGGCACTATCTCAAAAAACAAACAAAACAACAACAACAAAAACAAAACCCAAAAATCTAGCTTCCTAAACTATGAAAATTAAGTTTCTGTGTTTATAATTTACTCAGTCTCTGGTATTTTGTTATAGCAGTGTAAACAGACTAAGTTACTACCTTTATCAATCCTTTGTCTAGCTCTTACTAATCTCAGCTTTTCAGCTAACTTTGTAGATACTTAGGATTCCACTAGCAATGAGGGGATATAACAATGAACTGGGAAACATTTAAATTGAGAACTGACCTGAGTTCAGGTTGGGAAATTTTCCAGACTCGTTTATACTTACATAATGTTTTATATTATTTACATTTAATTTTGGACTACTGGAAGACCAAAAGCTTCAATATGTAAAGGGAGGAAGCTATTACAACCCAACACTTAGAGGTGGAATTGAATCAGTGGGGTACATTTGAGTGTTAGGAATTACAGTATGTACACAGGACCCCATCATGCATTTTAAAAAATCATACCATCTAGGTACATCATAATTTCAAAAGAGAAAAATCTCCAAGATCCTTTGAATTCACTGAGATTTTGTGACTCTGTGTTTCTGAACTGTTAACAGAGTTCCATTTTGGAGGAGCTATTAGATTAGGTAAATTCTCAAGATTCCTTCTGATTCCTGGGTAATTCTATCTTGCTTTTGTTCTTTATGCACAAAAATGACTCTGCCTATCATTCTTTTTTAAAAATTAATTCCATTGGTACATTTTAGGTATACAATATAATGACATTCATCATTGGAAATTTGCACCTTGGTTCTTATTTTTTCTGCCTATCATTCTTATATACCCTATACTTGAAGACTTACTCTGTGCTGGGTACAGAAGACAATAGGCTGGCATCACAAGGAGTTTGTGACGATTCTCTGGTGTATTGGTTTCCTAGGACTGCAAAGTACCACAAATCAAGGTGGTGGCAGAGATAGGCACCTTCTGAAACTTCTAGAAGAGAATCCTTTCTTGTCTCTCTGACTTCTAGTAGCCCCAGGTATTCCTTGGCTTCTGGCACATAACTCCAATCTCCCTCTGCCTTCACATGGCCAACTTCCCTCTATGTCTCTGTCTTCTCTCCTTGTAAAGATACCATTTATATTGGATTAAGAGACAGTTCTACTCCACTGTAACTTCATCTTAATTTACATCTTAATTACATCTGCAAAGACTCTCTTCTTTTAAAATTTTATTTTATTGGTACATTTTAGGTATACAATATAATGACATTCATCACTGGAAATTTGCCCCTTTACATAATCTCTCTTGGTTCTATTTTTTCCTCTTTCCCCTGCCATCCCTTCAACCCCTCCATCCTTCCCTATTTACAAAGACTTTGTTTCCATTTTGCAAAGACCCTCTTTTGAAATAAGGTCATATTTATATGTAGCACAGAGTAGGATTTCAACTATTTTAAGAGACACAATTCCAGCTATGACACCTAATGACTAACTATACATTTATCTATGTCTAGGAATAGGACTTTGATTGTCAGCCATGAAAGAGCACAATCAAAATCACCCACAGTGGGAGGAAATCACAATTTTATTAAGCTGACATGCTTATCAGTTGTGCTAACCAGTCATATATTTAATCATCATATCATATTGTCACTTTACTTGTTCCTACTTGCTTCTTTTCTTCTCCTTCTCCTTTTTCTTTTTAATTGTAGAATGATATGGTTAAACAATCAGTGCTGGGATCCGAATAAGGTACTTTCCTATGAGTAAGGTATTCCTATGAGTGGGGTATTCTTCAGTTTATCACATATCCAAAAACCATGAAAGAGCTTATCAAAAGTTTCAGTTTATATTTAGCTTTGAATTATACATATACACACCCACCTACACACACACATATTTTTAAGCATCAACAATTCAATCTGAACATTAGATGGGTGTTCTCTATTCTCATTGTCTTATGAGATAACTACTGACATTTTTCTAACACAAGAAGAAACCAATTAAACTAAATGATATTCTGCAAATTTTAATCAATGATGTTGCTCACTAATCCTAATAAACCAAAGTGAAGAAACGTAGTTCATGGTTTTCTTACAGCTAGAGGAGGAAAATGGCAAAATAACTGTCCTATTATTTCCCTCTAAGCCCATTCTCAGTCATTATAGGAAAGAAAGAAGACTGTATTATGCTCAGACTCACAGCCCAAAGTGTTAAGTGGACAAAAAAACTATTAAAATAACTATCAGGAGAGAATTTCTCAAGAGGAAAAAGCTAGCATGTAATGAAACTTTTTGCTGGGTTGAGAATCAGAAAGGGGATGTTGATAGGATTAAACTGTTAAAAACAAAAATTCATGTTTTATTTTAATTCTCCTATTTTGTCATTAGCACTACCCTTCTAAGGATTTATATAGGATGTTCAGTTCTGTCCACATCAATGTCACAGACAAGTCAAGAGAATGTCTGAAACCAAATGGAGGGTGACACAGAATTCCTTGGGGACAGTGGGAGTGTCCAGTGCTCTTTTTTATTTAAAGATCAGTGGAAAATTCTCAATAGCACAGGAACTAAAAGGGAAATGTGAAATGTAATGGTGTTTGGTCAGTGGAGCAAGGGATTTGTAGTGGTGAAAGAAACTACAGATAGAATTATTTGAATTGTACTTTTTATGCATCTTGTAGCATAATTTAGGCTTAGAAAGAATTTCAATTGAGTTTTGCTGTGTTAGTTTTGATCTCAGCAAAATGGATTTGTTGTTTTTGTTTCTTCTTTTTATTCAGATGGGCCACACCCTTCTGGTTTTGAGAAATCTGATTGTTATCTCTTAGTTAGAACCATGCCTGATGAAGTACTCTTTCCAATTTTGGAAGCTTAATCATGCCGGATTCTTACCAAAAAACCTCAAGGGACATTCAACTTGCAGGACCAAGATGATTGTCAAGTGAGCTGTGGATTAGGGTCTAATTCTTAGAAATTCAATGAAAATAGTTTAGGCAAAGATAGATTCAATAGGGCAGACAGAAAGAAATGGGGAATAACAGGACAAAGCAAACACATAGGAGCTCATTAAAGCAGCAGTCAATGAGTAATTCATAAACAATATCTGATATATAATTTAAGACCCAAAGGTCACTTAATATTAACTCTATTGCAACACATATAAACCCAAAGAATCTGGCCTGCAATTGTTGTTGAGCTTGCCTTAGCTGTTTTTATTTCTTGCAAGTGTTTCTCTGGAGGCATAAAAAAAATAAGAGTAAAACTGAATTTATTGGAGGCATTTACTTGGATTAATTAGCTAATAAAAGCATTTCCAAATTGCTAATTTACTAAGCAATGTCACCAAAATGCTGAATTACTTTACTTTTATTATGATGATCAAAAGAGATAAATGCAGGCCTAGCCGCAAAACCGAAGCAAAGAGAAAAGAGGCAGCAGTCATTCTTTGCATAATTACTGGCATTTGTCATCCTTTCCTTGAAAAGGAGAGCCTCGGTTTTTCTAAAGACTGTTTTCTTTGCCTCAGAATCTCTTCTTCAGAACTGTTTATCATCCACATTGTCCTCATTTACCCAGGAGCACGTACAGTACTAATATACTTTTCATTAGTCAATTTAATGAATTTAATTTCAGTTCAAGATGTTAATTAAAAAGTGTACATTTTATTCTTACAAGGAGAAAACTTTAAAACAAACTCTTGGTTCTCAAATGTTAGGTGGAATTACTAAAAGAAGTTGAAAAACAGGATTAATCAATGTGAAATTTAGTATTATGGGCCTGGGGTGGATTTTGATGATGAATTATAATTAATTTTCCTATCCCCTTTAAGAAAACAAAGGCTCAAAATCATGGCACCTGTAACTTTACTTATATTTAGGGAGACAATTTTGAAGAAAATTTTAAGAATCAGAAAGGAAGTTTGCCTTAAAGAGAAAAGCACTAAACAAAAAGCTACTAGACCAGATAGTCCATTACCAGAAAATGAATGAGAATTTTATTATTTCTTGGCTCAAAAAAAAATTTTGTCCTTTGCCAGATCTAAAAATGCTGCCAACCTGGAAAAAAAGGATCCATTTTTCTAAATAACTACATTTAGTAATTTCCATGAAATTGACATTTTAAAACTGTGTCAAAGAACCAAATTAAAACTTAGGGGTTCCTAATCCCTAAATTCGGAGCCTATTTTGGGAAATACCTAAAATATATTTTAAAACTAACCAATTAATATAATTATAGTGAGTTTAAATAACATATATACACTAGATCTGCTTCTGTAAAGCACGGCTGATCTGTTATTTATATTTTGCTATTTTTAAAAATCAGAGATGTGGGTTTATATACATATGAAATACGTATCTGCAAAGCAACTTTTAAAAAAGTAAATCTGTCTTTTTTCATCATTAAATTACAAAAATCCCAACAACACTACACCAATTAGCTTGAAAATCTTATATTCATCATGCCTGTGAATATTATCGCGGTTGTAACAAGGACAGCAGCACATCCAGGTAGTTAACGTAACAGAAAAAAGGCACAGGCAGTAACTTGCATCCCCTGGCAGTTGACATGGTAATTTCCTCGCCTCCACTCTTTGGCTCTCTCCACCCCGCTTCAGACCCCCTCCCCCAAGACACGAGGCACCCTGGGTGCCAGGGAAGGTGCCTCGCGGGGACTGAAGAGAGCAGGAAGAATTGGGGCAGAGCGCTCGGTGCCCACACTCTTGGCTTCAGGGTAAGTGCGGATGTTCTCCCCTGGAGTGGGGAGTGGGTTAGGGTCCAGGGGGTCCGGGCGGATCCGGATGCCGCTCCCTGCCCTCCCCCCAAGCCCAGTGCCTGCGGCACTAGGCGCTGGCCCCCCAAGCCCCCAGCTGGGCCCCTGCAGGGATGGGTGGGCGGAGCGCAGCGCGGCGCGGGGAGGCGGGAAAGGGGTGGGGTGGACAGCTTGAGTTCTGGAGGATCGCGGATCGGTGGCAGAACCTGCAGGCTAGGTGGGCGACTCTTCTCCCTGGATCAACGGACTTGAGGACCTCAGCTCCATCGGAGTGAGGAGGACCTTGGAGTCCCGCACTCTGGCCTTCGCCACCTTCAACAGCGCAAGACGGTGGACCCGCGGGCGCACAGGCGACCCCACGAGCAGGTGGGCACCCCTGAGCCCGGTTGCTGCGGACTGGATGTCCCCCCTTCCAGGCCTCTGGGTAAGGGCCGGGCATGTCCGGGGGCAGGAGAAAGGTGGCTGGCCCGGGGGTGTGCACGGGTGCCTTACTAGGTGGGGAAGAGGTGGGGAAAGCTCCTCCTGTAGGATTCACTCCCTGGAGTCTCAGTGTCCCCACCCCCACCCAGTCCCCTGCTAAGGAGGTGAGCACTCCTGCGGCTTCTCTGCTCGCAAAGCGCAGGTCGCCCCCTCTTCCCGGCCCACACCCAGCGACCGTGAGGACTCCCCTTGCTCCGGGTCTGCGGGGCTGTGGGGGTCGTGGGGGGAGAGGCTGGTGGCAGGACCGGCCGGGCGTGTGTGGGAAGGCTGGAGTTGCTCGAGTTATTGTGTGCTGGCGCCGGGGCGTGCGCCCGGGGGCTCCCTCATGCTTTCTGCGCCGGAGTGGAGGTTCGTGGGTGGGCTGAACTTCTTCTCTCCAAGGGCCGGCCGAACACAGACCCTACAGCCGCTCCTGCGCGTGTGGACGAACGTTTAATGGACGCGTGTGGAAGTAGTCGTGGTCACTCCCGGGTCCCGAGAGAGTCTCTTGGGATGGCCCAGGGCGCGTTCGGGTTTTGTTAGGCAAGGGAGAGTTGTGTGTAAACGTCCGTCAGCAGGAGAGTTTCTAAAGGAGACTTGATTTTCTTGGATTTGCTGCAATTCCATAAACGAAAACTGGCTTTCGGGGCGTTAAAAGTAAATTACGGGTAAGGCGGATCTGTAGTCGGGCTTTTTAAAAAAGCTTCGGGGTTTGCGGGGTAGTGGGGGTCGGGCTGGTGCGCTCGCTAGGCTTCTGGCGCTGCCTCAACTAGGTGGTGGGGCGAGGGGTGGTGCTTGAGTCTTCAGTTAAAAGGTGTTGGGGCTGGAGCACTTGTGCTGGGTACATTGTGGGATTCCAAGAGGTAAAAAGCTGCGCAGCGCGGTCTGCTCTTCTCCATTGAACTCCAGAATTTCGGTGTTTGTCGGTTTTTCTCTCCGACGCATTCACTCCTTTCATCTCCTGGCTGTTGGACTCGCTGATAGTTGGTCGTGTATTTTTACTCTTCTGTTCCTTTCCTGATTTAGTTTTTTTTTCTCCTCTTTTTTCTTTTCTTTCTAACTTTTATTTTTTTTTAAGGGGAAAAGATCTAAAATGCATGGGATGAAATAGATCTTTCAGCACTTACCGCATACAAATCAGGCAGGCATAGGATGAAAATACCCCCATCAAACTGTTTAGATTGGACAAAGCTCTATTTCAGGTTAGAATTACCGTTTTAAATAGATGTCTTAGACCTTGTGATAAAGTAACCTTAGTTTGGATGTCTCCTTTCTCTTATAATTGCGGTATTTTACTGAATTCTTAATGCCCTAATTAACAAAGTGGGCAGATTTGTCTTCTAATTTTAAATGACAGGTCTTGAAATGGCTGTTAAATTGGTTCTGTGACTCCATCTCTTCAAGAAACTGATCAGAGAGTAATACAGTTGATGACCTGGGACGTAGGTATATTTCAAATTCTAATTAAAGAATTTCTCGAATCATTGGGAGAGAGGAATGCCTTAGGAATTTTGCACAAGAGGAGAAAGAATACAAGGTTTTGGTGTTTTGGAGCAAGTATTTTGCCACTTTTTCCTCAGTTCCTGTTAGATGCCTAGAAAAGATGCATTGTTGATGAATAATTCATGGTTTATTTCCCTTTTATGTCTACAGGTGGCAGTGTAGAAGCCAAATCGGGAGCTTCTAGCAGTGGTTTCTAAAAAATAAGTTGAATGTACATGAGTAAGCAAGCACAGGAATCTGAAAAACCACAGGTATGTAGGACAATTAATCCACCTATCCTGCTTTATAATTAATGCATTCCAGTAATACTAACCCATTTGCTCTTATGTTCAATATTTTGACATTTGTATGGACTTATGAAGTGAAATGTATTTTGGGATAGTCATGGAGGAAAAAACAAGTCTAATCTATTTCAGACAATTTATTTAAATAAAAATACTGCATGTTATTATGGTATCTGACTCTACTATTCTAAAGGAGAAGCGTTTTCTCTTTGTGACTATACAGCTTTGCATTTAACCAGTTGTTATTTGGTACTTGCTTTTAAAAACATTTTTCCTGAAACTGTAGAAAACTGCTAATTGCTCTGAACAATTTTATTTGAGGTACTGTTAAAGAGTCACACTGTGCAGCAATGTAACTGTATCTGCCTTTAATAAAACTTGTGTCTCGTTGTTGACTTACATCGCATTGATCGGAATACAGGTGGCTTTGGGAGGCTTCTTTTAACCCAATCTGTTTTTAACCTGCCTGTCATTTTTCTCTTACCTGGCTGCTTTTCTAGCCCACTAATTTCCCCACTTAAATGAAATAAGGATGGGCTATATGTAGATCAGAAACAATCAAGTTTGTAAAGTTATTCATGATGACATCAAAAGGTTTGCCTGTGATTATCATTACAATGTAAGGTTTTGCATATTAAGGTTCTTAATGTGCACATTATTCTCAATGGTAGAAGAAGCCTGAGGGAGTATAGAGTTCATCTTTTTGTGGATTTTCATTTTCTTTGCTGAGAATGGCAGGCCATAACACAGCTACTGGCACTTTCATGGGGAAGCTACAGTTATGTGTTGGCTGTGTAAGGGGGCTCTATAAGGGTCGGGCATCAAGATGGCTGTTAAAGGGAAGGAAGGTTTCTGTTCTCTAGGGAAAGTACGCGTTCTCAAAGCCTGAAGGTGATGATACCTTACCTTGTGATTTTTGACATTCTGCCTTTATAGCCAGGGAGGGATTTGTTTTAGCTCATGGTAATGAGGGTGTAAAACAAAGGGATTCTGTTCTTAAAGATTAAAAAAAAATCAAATTAGTCATTTAACCAGTAGAAAGCAAATTGGAAGCTCAGACTCAAAGATTAGACTAACCTTAAAGACTGGTATCACTATTAGGACCTCATGGATGGGAAGTAGCTTCAGTAAAGCAGGGACATTTAAAAATGTGTTAAGTTTGCTCTGTGTGAGACTTAGATTCATTATCTGACTGAGAAACAGGAGTAACTCCACCAATAGGTCTGAGAGGAGGAATAAGGTCTAATCTTCTAAGTCAAAAAAGGAAAAGAGCAAGGTTAAGATTATATATATATTTTTTTAGAATCAGCATACACATTGTAGAGATATACTAGGTGTTTTAGAGGTATTTTACTTGGAAGTGAATCATATGATAAAGTGTGTAAAATGTATTGATCTAAACTGTATTGCTCAGTTAATTTTACTTGCATATACACCCTGTGACAGGTCAAGCTGTAGAACATGTCTGGTGTGCCAGAAGATTTCCTCCTGCCCCCCCTTCTCATCATTTGTCTACCTCCAATATGAAGGTAACCACATTATGATTTAAAAAAAAAAGACTACATCTACTAATTTTATCCACTTTTAAGCTCCGATAGATGATATGGTAGGAGCTCTTTGTGCATGTCATTTTTTATTTAACCAAATATCTGTACAATTTATGTGATCATATGGATCAGAAGTTCTTTCTGATCTGTTGTAGAGTAGTAATTATGTGGATATGCTACAATTTATTTATCTCTTTCCCAATTATATCTTTGGGTCATTTCCAGTTTTTGGGTGTGAATAAAACAGCTGTGAACATTTTTGCTTATGTCTTTTGGTGTACATTCCCACTTATTTCTTTGGGCATAAACCTAGAAAAGGGATTGTAGGGTCATAGTATTTAGATTTATTACCTAATGCCAAACAGTTTTCCAAAATGGTTATACAGTACTAATTTAAATTCCACCAGAGCCAGGCTGGTGGTGCATGCCTATAATGCCAGCACTCTGGATAGCTGAGGCAGAAGGATCACATGTTCAAGCCCAGCCAGGGCAATTTAGCAATGTGGCAAGACCTTGTCTCACAATAAGAAAGGGCTGGGGCTTTAGCACAGTGCCAAGGCTCTGGATTCAATCCTGATTACTATAAGCAAACAAACAAACAAAACATCAGTAGTGCACAAGATTCCCTCTACATTTTTACTGACAATTGGTTTTGATTTTTTTTTTTGAGATAGGATCTTGCTATATTACCCAGGCTAGTCTAGAATTCCTCGGCTCCAGTCATCCTCTTACTGCCTGAGTAGGTAGGACTATGGGCACATACCATTGTGCCCAGCTTTTCAGTCTTCCGGATTTCTGCTATTTTGGTGAGGATAGTGGTATCTAGGGACTTTAAAAAAATTTTTTTCAGGGGTAGTGGTATAGCTCAGTGGTAGAACACTTGCCTAGCATACACAAGACCCATGGATTTCATCCTCAGCACTGCCAAAAAAAATAAAAGAAGGAATTAAAAAATTATGTTAAAATACACATTATACAAAATTTACCATTTTTAGGCATTTTTAAGTATACAGATAGTGGCTTTAAGTACATTTCCATTGTTGTGCAACCATCACTGTCCATCTTCAGAACACTTTTCATATTACAAAATCTAACACTAATTTACCTATTAAAAACAATAATGCCCCATTGCCCTTTCCCCCATTTCTCAGTCTCCAGCAACCACCATTCTACTTTCTGTCCTCAAGGTTTATCCATGTTATAGATTGTATCAGAATCCCAGGCTAATTAATATTCTGTGTATATGCCTTTTGTTTATCCATTCATCTGTCCATGAACACTTGAGTTGTTTCCATCTTTTGTCTATTTGTGAATAATACTATTTATTATGAAGATGGGTGTACAAATACCTCTTGAGACCCTGCTTTCAATTTTTTTGGTATATATCTAAAGCAGAATTTCTAGAATAATTCTATTTATAATTTTTTAGGAATTGCCATATTCCATAGCATATACCGTTTTATATTCCTAATAGCTGGTGTACAATGGTTCTAATTTCTCCACATCCTCACCAACATTTATTAATTTCTATTTTTTGATAGTAGCCATTCTGGTGGGTGAGGTAGTCCATGTAGTTTTAATATACATTTCCTGGTGAGTATTGATGTTGCATGCCATTTTATATACTTACTGGCACTTCAATATGCTTTTGTTAGGTGCCTGTTCAAATCTTTTGCCCTCTTGATTTGGTTTCTCCCTATAGTTTATTTGTAAGAAATTTTTTATATAATGAATATTTTCTCCCAGTCTGTCGTTTGCCCTTTCATGATGCTTTTCTTTTCCAATACGGAGAGTGCTAAGCTCATATCCCTAGCCCTTTTAAAATTTTATTTTGAAATGGGGTCTCTAAATTGTCTAGGCTGTCCTCAGACTTACCAATCCCCTGGCCTCAGTCTCCTGATTAGCTGGGATTACAGGCATGTAATAACATGCCCCAGCATGTTTGATGGTTTTAAAGAAACCAGCTATCAATTTTTCTCTTATAGCTATTGCTTTTTTGTTCCATTTAGGAAATGTTTGCTTTTTGGGGGGTTCTGTGTAAGCTTGCAGCATGCCACACAGAGGTGAGTCTTGAGGTTGTGCTGCATGGATAATGTGGGATGGAGCTTGTCCTCGGGCAGCAGGCAGTTAGTTCTCCAAGAGGATGAGCGTGCCCTAGCACAGGCTGTCTCCATTATTGCCTCTTGCCGCCCAGAAGCTGCATTCCCTTATCCTGAGGCACCACCCATTGCTGGGAAGGGGGTGGGTAGGTGCCAGCTCTAGAGCCCCCAATATTTGTGTGTATGTGTGTATGTGTGTATGTATGTGGTACTAAGGATTGAGCCCAAGGCCTCATATATACTAGGCAAGCACTCTACCACTAAGGTACATCCCCACCCCTTTTTAAAAATTTTCTTTTGAGATGGAGTCTCTTGAAATTGATCAGGGTGTCCTCAGAGTTGTAATCCTCCTGCTTCAGCCTTCCGAATAGCTGGGATACAGGCATGCCATGTGCCACTGTGCCCAGCTGCCAGGGTTATTATTATTTTTTTTTAATTTACTTTTTAGTTACTGAAAACATACGGAGACAGTTTGTTTGGAAGATGTAGTAGATTAGCTACAGGTTTATTCTCCCTAATCTGAAATGCTTGGGACCAGAAGTGTTTTGGATTTCAGACATTTTAGGTTTTGACATATTTGCATACGTATAATATAACATACCTTTGGGATGGGATCCATGTATAGACACAGAATTCATTTATATTTCATATATATTTTATACATACAGCCTGAAAGTATTTTAGTTGACTTTTTTTTTTTTTTTTGTACCGGGGATCGAACTTGGGTCCTTGTGCTTTCGAGGCAGGCGCCAGAACCTGAGCTAAATCCCCGGCCCAACTTGAAAGTATTTTAAACAATATTTTTGGTCTGACTCTGTTTTGATTTTGACCCATCACATGAAGTCAGATGTGGAATTTTTCAGATTTTGGATTTTTCCATAGCAAGTAACATAAAAGGGGTTTGAAAAAAATGAATCTTCAATATCTATGATGACAGATGTTATGATTCATGTGATTCCCATTGTTCCTATCCTTGTCACTAATTAGTACCCAGGACCCCTCTAGAGTGGGAGGAACCATAGGGAAGTATGTGGTGATAAGTTAGCATTAGGAGAGGGGCAAAATGATGGGTTGGGTAGCCACACCTCTATTTGTAATGCATGCTTGCTGAATGATTCCTTCCTGCCCCTCTTGTACCTCTCAGGACTATTGTTGTTGTTTGGAGCCACATCTTTCCTTTAGCCCCTAAAATTTTAGTCCCTCAGGGTTCTGGCATTTATTAGCTTTCTTCCTGTCCATTCTATAGCTTTTCCCTGAATGCCTTGTCATTAACATGAAATTTCACTTTAATTCTGCTCCTTGGTTTTAGACAATCCCCCAGGTCTTTATCTCCTGCTTCTATTACCTGTTCATTATTTCAGGGTCTTGATCTATATCCTTAATTGCCCTGACATCTGGATGTCCTGCAAGTACCTTTATAGGAAGCATGAGTAGTTCTTCTCCAGTCTGCTCTGCTGCTTTCCTACCTCAGTCTATTTACCATGAATTTAGGATTCTGAAGTGGAAGTCTTGGCACTGTCCCCAGTCTTCCCACACAACTTTCATCACCCTCACAGCCCATATTTAGTTGTCAAGGCTGTTGAGCCTTTCTCCTATCTCTGAAACCACTTTCAAAGACGTCTTCTCCCTTATTCACTGTCTCGTGGTTCAAGTTCTTTAATCCCCCTTTAGGATGTAGTAATAGCCTCCTAACCGGTCTCCCTGATTTGTACTCTAGCCTCTAATCCATCTTCCACTTGTCATCAGCTTTAATCATGCCATTTCCTCTTTAAAGACAATTTGTAGCTCTCCACTGCCTACACAAGGCATTCAAATCCCATAGCATGATTTACAATATGAGACCCTTCGTTATTTGCCTCCATCTGTTTTTTCCGCTCCATCATCTGCCATCTCCACCCTACACTCCATCTGTCCTGAGCTATTTTCCATTCCTAGAACATTCCTTGAGTTCTTCCCCACATCCTTTTGTACATGCTGTTTCTTCCACTTCTGATGTCCAGGCTTATCTGGTAAGTTACTGTTTTACCTTTTAAAAATAGCTCAAATTTGGCTTCTTTGAGCCTGCCTATCTGCTAGGTAGACCTTGTTACTGATTTTTTAGTGTGCTTAGAGGAAGTAACTATAATTGCAGGCATCACTATATGTTAATCTTTGTATCCTCAGTAACTTGAGGCAGTAATTGAAATACAGAAGTTATTTAATAAATATTCATAGAATCAGTTAGGTTTTTTTGCTTAACAATTCACCACACTACTAGGTTCAGTTAGTTATTTTAAGCCAACATTTATTTAGCTCTTGATTTTGTGGGTTGGCAGTTTGGGCACCCAGCTGGGTGGTTCTTTGGATCTGGGCAGGTCTCTAGACTGAAATCAAGTTCATTCATGTGGGTGAGTTGGGAGCTGGCGTTTCCAGGATGGCCTCAGCTTCTCTCTGCTCCATGTGGTGTCTCTAGTCTATAAGGAACAGGGAAAGGGGGCGCTACTAGAACCTCTGCAGTAAGTCCTAGTCTCCTGCGAGCCATGGCGGCACAAGGCGAATTACAGAAAAGGTAGAAAAATGAGACTGAGAAGAAGCTGAGCTTTGGGTCTGATCAGTGCTGCTCTGGGCGGCAAAGACCGAAGTCCCCAGCTTACTGCCCCTTTTATTCAGTACTTTGGGAGAAACAAATGTAACAAATGACTTGCAGAGAGTTCAGTACATCCTGTGTAAACAAGATGTAACAATCCAAGAACAATGAGGAACTGAGTTGATGTTCGTTCCTCCCAGGAGTTTTCAGCTTCCAGGATGTTTCTTGTCCTGGAGAATCAGAGACAGCATCACCGGATCGTTGAGGTCTCAGTTGTGACCGGAGGCCAAAATGGAATTATGTCTCGGAATTCCACAGCTGGGCTATAGGCAGGAGAACTAGGTTAACCAAATGATTTTTCCCTAAAATTATGTAGCATTGCTCCCGACACTAGTCTGGAACCTGAGTAAGCCAGGCTTGTTAACAATTTGGCTGGCAGGGTTCAAAGAGAATGCAGAGGTATAAAAGGCCTCTTGTACGTGAGGCCTAGGTTTTCAACTGGTATATACTTCCTATGAATGAATTCTGTTAATCAAAGCAAGTCACAAAGCCAGCCCTGATTCAGGAGATGAGGAAACAGATCGCATCCCTTAATGGGAGGAACT